AGTCACTATGAATAAATTCAATTTGGCCTGTTGTTATTGTTGAGTCAAGTGTAAATATACAATTGATTCATGAATGAATGGTAAAACCACCGAAAGAAGAAGAAAGAAAGAGAAAAAGAGAAATAAATGAGAATTAAAATGCATTCAAATGTTTCCCTTTAGCCTAGGTGAAGGTTACTCTGAAAATGCAAAATATTTCGAGTAACAAAAAAAAAGAGAAAAGTTGATCTAATGATATCGAATCATCTCAATCAAATGATGATGAAGATGCAATGAGCGTTTTCTGTGTCAACATATGATGAATAAAGTCAGTGAAAGTGTCTATTCATCTGTACAATTTGACTTTGTTGGCCAAAGTAGGAAAACACGGAAAGATGATGAATGTCGAGCTTTGATCACCAGTCGACATATTCATATCAAGTGAAGAGAGAGAAAAAAGTTTGATGAAAATTATGTCAAAAGTGACTTTTTCATCTTCTTAGTTTTTCTCTCTCTTCTCTTCTTCCTCCTTCAGACTATTCATTGATTTGTGTGCTTTTATATCATTTTTTTTTCTTTTTCTTCTCATTTCACAAAACTAGCAATTCACTTGGTTGGTACAATGAGTGTTACAAAGACACAAACCAACAACACTGAGTAAGTGAACTGATCTGATACGGTTTGGTGATTTTTACTGGGTTATTAAATCAAATCACAAGATGAACAAGATGAAGAAGGGAAGGAAAAAAAGTAGAGAAACATTTTAGCACAAAAGATTATCATTATCATCAAAATGATTGAGAATATGCATAAATATATAAATGGTGATTTATTCAATTCTTTACACAGTATTTGTTTCATGTAAACTCGAAGACCATTTTCAGCTAATTTTCATTCATCATTCGCATTTCACTTTACCCATAAATTGCCTTTTCTTAAGACATGTTATTATCATTTCAATTATCATCATTCAATGTACAGTTTTCACAAGTGTTATGTAAATCTTGAACATTTGAAACTTTTTTTTTCTCTTTTACTTTTTTCTTCTTTATTGGCCTGCATTTGACTAATTAGACATTCGACATTCCAATCAGTATTGAAACTTGTACCTTTCATGGGAAATTAATTTTCGAATTGAAGTTTCAATTGTTTAGCGATTTCCAATTGTTAACCTTAATTGTTTCCTTTCATTGTTTTCAAGTTTTGTAATGAAAAATTGAGTTCGTCATTTTTCACTTTACATTTTTGTTTCATGCAAAAAGTTGTCCAACTGTAATGATTCAATGAAATTGCAGGTTAATCAATCAATTGTTGGTTGAATGAAGAGAGAAAGGAAAATGGTGAACAAAAAGAAAGAGTAAAATGTAATCAATCAATCAATGAGAATCAAAAATTGAGATGCAAAAGTTTCAAAATGAGAATTCAGAGAATCACTAAATTGAATTAAGTTAAATTGCATTTACATTTCATGAGCGAAGAAGGTTCAGTATTTGTTTTTTTTTCTTCTTAACCTTTCTTTTTCTCTCTTTTCACACTTTATTGTTCCAAGTTTACTGAGAGTCTGAACAAAAAAAAAGGTTGCCTGAATAGATAAATGATAATGTTGTGAATAAGGAGAATGAGAAATGAACATATTCTTTACAATTCAAGAGAAAATCATGAAAACATGAAAATGATGATTATGTTGAAAAGGAAAAGATCAGAGTCCAAATAGAAAATGATAAAGAGTGTAAAAAAGAAATAATAAATTGTTCCAAAATCTTTTCACATAATTTCGTCGGAAATCATTCGAATTCTTGACTTTGGAATGAGCAAAAAAAGAACATTTCACGCTTTGAATCTTTTCCATTCTATTTGTTCGCCATTACATGAAAAGAAAAGCACTTTTTTCGCACTTGCACATTCCAACGAACTGATGTTTTCCTCATGAATTTTCTTTCTATTCAGCTTGTGCAGCTATTTCTGAAACGTCAAAAAAAGTTTCCATTTTTTGTCGTTTCAGTTTTTGTTCAATTCAAATGCTGAACCTTTTTTCAGCTTTCCACACCTTTAGAGTCACAGGAACATCATTTTTACAAAACTCCTAAATCGTTTTCAAAATCATTAAAAGAATCTGCTAAAAGATTTTGCCATTTTTTCCTTGAAAAAAAAGTTCAGCTCATCATCATTTAAAGAATGGAAAATTATCTTTATTTTTCACTTTTCATCCATTCTCGTTGAAATACAAGAGGAAGTAACTGGAAATTTTGGGTGAAAAAAGGAATGAAAGAAAATTGCAAAAGCGATACCAAAAATGAGGTGCAATGGCAAAGATCAATAAATAAGCTGAAAATGGGTTTCAAAGAGTGATAATTATCCTTTGATTATACATTGACAGAAAAAAAGGTCACTCATTAGGATATATCAATGATAATGATGATAATGTTGAATGATCAATTGAATGATCTTTAAATACTCGGAAAGAGTGAGAAGTGATTTTGAAGGTGTAAAAACAGTAAAATGGTAAACAGAAAACTGACTCAAGTTTCAATAGTTAATCGAACAATCATGTTTAGATCTCTTATTTATACTTGAATAAACTATCAAGAGCATCATAATCTGAGTAAAGATGCACTGTTGAAGTAAAGGCTCGAGGAGAGGACAAAAGCAGAACAAGAAAAATGGGGAAAAAAGCATATGGAGAAGAAACAGGAATGCGGGAAACTCATACATAATGGTGACACTTAACGCGTGTTTAAGCCACAGTTGAAGGCTCAGTTTGCACTGTTTGATGACTTGCTGTGTTCACTTTAAAAACAAAGATCTATTCCTGGTTTTACTCGCCATTTTGCAGTTTTTCAAACACTTTTACTTCTCTCAAGATACAACAAGAATAGGAAATTTATTTATATACTTGTAATAAACTGGTAATAATTTGATTGGCAAGTGTTTTACATCAGACAGGGAAGATGAGAAGAAGATGAAGAAGATGAAAAAAAACTGGAAAAGCTGAAAACTTTTCCTTTCTTGCAAATGTAGTGATATAAATATGATAAAGTGAAAGCCACTTGTAAATCCATTGAAGCTGTAAATGAGTTTTAAGCTTTACACTAATCGACCTGAAATCAATATCATTAGAGGATAAAAATGAAAACACAAACAAATCAACAGCAAAGGACGGAAGTTGTCGATTCATTGAGGATTAGATTGATTAGCAAGATTGAATGTTTGTTGTTAATATTATCTTGTAATAATACTTGAGATATAGTTCAACATTTCTTCTTGTTCGCCTTCTTTACCTTAGCCTTTTTGTGTTTAGCTCACATCTAAAGCTCTGTTGATTCCATTTTTCTCACTTTATTAGCTATAAACATAAACTTCACTCCCAGTGATTCCCAGTAAGATGCAATGGAAATGTTTATAAGAAGAAGAAAGAAAAAAAAGGAAAAGTTTGAACAGTTGAAAGTGAGACGCGTGTAATCAACTCCTTCCTATTGCGTCAAGTCTACACGTGTTATCATCATCATCATCTTCATGTTTGTAAATTGAAAACTATGGATTGAGTTAATTTTTATTTTTGCGTTTTCTCTTTTTTTTGCCTTCTTCTGCCTTTCCATAGGTAATCATTGTGATGGCTGATGATAAATACTGAGACTGAACAGGACAAGGCAAGAAAACAGACACACGCATTGAGCCATGGATGCAGCCACGCATAACCCAACAAGAGGCACAAATGGTACACAAGTTGTGCCGTAAACAGTGATATGGGATAAATAATTTTCATTTGTTGTTCTTTTCGCTTTTTGCTGAAAACATATTCTTCTCCACTCAACAATCAGTTTGTCCTTTTCTTTCCCTTTTCCTCATAATGCTTATACAATCAATTCGAGTTTCCTTCCGATTCATGTCAAACTTTGCGGTTTCAACAGAGTATCAGGCAAGAATATACAAACTCAAATCTCTTTTTCTTCTTTTCCATTCAATATTTATTACAACCAATTCAGCCTTTTTATTCCTGTGGTTCCATGAAATTATTGTCCAACTCAGTTGAATCAAGTTCAACATTTATCTTGCACTTTAATAATTTAATTTGTTTGCTAAATCAATTTCGATGCATTTCCGATGGTAAAAACGAAAACTTTCCTGGATTCTTCCAATAGTAAACAGAAATGAGTTTTTCAAAAATTCTGTAAATCTTTTCACTCTCAATGCCTTGATTGCTGCCAACAATGTTATTGATTTAGTAAACTTCCAAAATCTAATCTTTCAACTTTTCCCTTCAAATCGATTGATTAACTTGCGAAAAATGATTTTGTCTAAAAAACAAATTATCGATCATTTTTCTGCTCAATCTTTTTTCTTAACCACAAATCAATACTAAACATCATCTTGTGTCTGATTCAATGGACCATCAAATGCAAATGATTAAACTCTGCAAGTTGATATCATTATTAATGCATTTACCAATTAACATGGAATCGCGAAATGATCAGATGAACTGAGTTGTGATAATTCATGGAAATTTGCAGCAGAACTCTGGATGGAAAAGTAAATGAGTAAATGATAGCAACTTCAGTTGAGTTGTTATTCAATGGAGCTCTGGAAATCATGGAAATGGTGAAATGAAAATTGAGACTTGTTTTGTTCCCAAATTTTCTAGTTTTTTTAGTTTCTTTTACGTGTTTACATTATGTTTAGATAATTTCTGTTTATATTTTTGTTCTTATTTGTTTTATTTTTTGCGTCTTTAGATATTCATTCATCTGAACAATCAATTGGGGTTAAGGAAATAACAATCATGAATAATTGAACATTGAACTTTTTTCTTTTGAATAAATGTGGACATTTGAATGGTAAAAATGTTGTCTTTTGCTTTGATTAGTTTGTTTGCTTTTTAAGGACAAGAAATAAGCAAAATTGTTAGAAACGTATAAAGATGGAAAAGGATGGCAAAATGAATGAAAATGAAAAATATTGAAACACAAGTTGAGAGGGGAAAAAGAAGAGTAAAGAAAAGGAAGAAAAATAGAAACTAACAATTGTTTCAATTGATTTAGAGTTTTATTAATTGTTACATCTTCTCTTACATCTTTGAAGAGGGCAAGAAAGGTAAGGAACAAGAGATGGAGAGAGAAAGAGAAGCATGAGGATGAGAAATTGCATGATGAGTTGTTCACATTGAGGATGAAATATTTATGTTGAAATAAGAAGATGAGGAAAGGAAAAAGATGATGTGGATTGAAAAAGATGAAAATAAAGAGTCAGAAAAGAGAAGAAGAAGAAGAAGAAGAAAAAAGAAGATGAAAAATAAGAAGAGGAAGAAGAGAAGAAAAGGGGAAAGAAAAGGAAGAAACAAGGAAGATTCTTATATAGGCAAGGTGAGATATGGAGTGGATTTCAAGCCTATAGAGTAGGTTTTCACTGAATCTTGGCATCACCATCTAATAGTATAGATGATGATGATGATGAAAGATGGGCAAGAGAGGTGAAGAGAGTGAAAGAGAAGAGGAGAAAATGGGAAAAGAAGAAAATGGTGGAAATGATGGTGACGGCGGTGGTGAAAAGATGGGAACAAATCGTTGAATAAGGTGTAAAAAATAAAAACTTTGTTGAGCCTGAATGTTATACATGAAGAGGACAATGATAATTAACGTCAATATGTTGTCCTAAATGAGGATCATCTTGATCACAATCGCTTTGTATTTGCTTGTAGTCGACTAATGTTTTCCAGGGCGGATGATAACTTTGGACTTCGATTGGATGAGGAATCTCATGTTGTACTGGACTGGTTGCTACCAATGGGACACCTTGCATGTTAGCAATGCTCTGTAATTGCCTTCCATCCTGAAGAGAACATAAGAAAAGATTAGAAATTTAAACATTTTTTTTCGGGTTTTCTTCTATTTGATATTTGGTCAAAATTTGAACAGAAAATATTCTTCTTCCTTTTAAAGTAGCATTTAATTTTTTCGAGTTTATCTCGAAAATTCTTCGACTCAACTTTTCGATTAAATTTTGTGTTTTTGAAACATTGAAAGCATCAATTTTTATTGGACATTTTTTTCTTCTTCGACAAATTATTTTTACATTTTTCTCAGCTTCAAGTGAACATTAAGTTAACCCTTTTTTTATGGATACAGTGAAGCTCTTTGGATTACTCATTTTGCTTTCAATGGTTAAACTAAGCAAATGTTTCATCCAATTTAATCTAATAAAGTTGATGAATAGCTGCAAGTTTATGCAACCAAATCACCATTATTTTCACAATCTCTAACCCTTCAGATTTTTATGGCTTAGCCTGTGAGTAAGCCGAGTAATGGTTCATCTTCAAGTATCTTGATAACTTTGTTTATTTTCAATCAAATCATTTCCAGTCTGATTTGAGACGAAAATTTTGCTATAACTTTTTCATTCGAGAATAAATTTTTTGCTCAAAAAGTTGATTTCATCTTAATTGACAGAAAATTTCGCGAACTTCAAAACAACCTTTTCGTCATTTGATGCGATTGCATCAAAATGATGAGCATTGTTTCAATATTTACTCTAACCTGGAATATAATCCAGAATCGTCCAACTTGTGATTCGACATTTTGAGATCAACTCTCTTTAAGATGAGTGCAATTGATCAACTAAGAGGATTGATTAATTAATTAATAATTTGTGACGAAAAATGAGATCAAGTTCAAATGAAAATCTTTATCCAATCAATCAAATCTAATTGAGTTGAAAATTTTGCAAACGAAATCTTAACGAATAAAGTAATGAAATTTTCATTATTACTGAACAAAAATATGGAAATGTGATCTGAAATGCTGATTCATGCTGTTGGTTAAGACGTCAGTTTGTTTAATAATCATGAAAAGGGGAAAAAAGTTATTCATGTGAATTGTTACACTCAATTGGCTAATCAAGTAAGTAAGTAGCAAGTAACAATAAGTGTGCAAAAGAGGATGAAGAGTCTGAAGAGGGTCGGAAAGAGTCACAAAAGTGCGATATCAAGATTATCAGGAAAGATAGCTTTACCTCGGCGGTTAAATTGATTGAAACAAAGGCAACTAGAAGTGGTGTGATTGAAAGACTGAGACTGAAGAAGAGAGAAGCGAGAGAAAAAAAAGTAAATGAAAAAGGTAAACAATCAACGAGACATGCTGATAGGTAAGTGTCTCGAGTGTCTGGTAAAGCCATGCCGAACACCTTTGCATGTATCGGGTGCAGAGTAAAGTAAAAAAGGAAACACCAACAAGTATCATACGATATCAATTGAAGATATTTATACAAGAGAGAATCAAAAAAAGCCGAGAAAAACAAAAGTTTTACCTTTTGTTACAACCAAATGATTCAAGTGATTCAACTTGAATAGCAAGATCAATGAATAAATTGCAAACTCGGTTTGATTGAAAAATTGCGGAACGAACGCAAATCGAAAAGAAGAAGAAGAAAAATTAGAAAAACAATTTCTTCTTTTCTTCAATTGATTTTCGCTATTATCGCTATTATCACTGCTATTATAAGATTAGCAGCATTTTTATATTGAATATGATTGTTGCTCCCACGCTGTTAGAGATATTGAGATTCTTTCAAATGATAACCCTTTTCCGGTTCATCTTTTTCATCGTTTTCTCTCAAATTTGTCTCAATTGAATAGAAGATACTAATGGCTCTATAGAAGGCGAAACAAGGCCAGAGTGATGATAATGATGATGAAGAAGAAGAAGAAGCAAAGATGAACAAGATAAAAGAGTAAAGGAACAAAAAGATGATGCTCAAGGCAAACATTATTTTAACCTTAACCATTGAATGGATGAACATAAGAGGGGAGACAATGAATGGTGAAAAGTCGAGAAAAGAGTAATGTGATGAGAAGATGGAAGATGAGGCAAAGAGTCGACAAGAAAGGAAACGGAATCGGAAGAAAGTGAGAGAGAGAGAAAGAAGAAGATCTGTAATAAATCTGAAGGAAAAAATGATGATAAACAGAGTAAAAGATTGTAGGAAGTGGAAAATGTTTTCAGCTTTTACAGGGTAAAAAAAGGAGAAGAGGAAAGTTACGGATGAAAATTGAAAAGCATCTAATGAGTAAGTAATGAGATATGAAATTAGACGCATCATCGTATAGATGATGAAGATAACAAACATGAAGATAATCATGTCGTTGTTGTTGATAATGATGATAAGAATACCCGTGACAGTGTTTTGCCTCTTTCGAGTAAACCAATAAATTTGTAAATAATATTTTGTTATACAAAAACATGGAATGAAAAGAAATGCATAAATCCCTCGAGTAATTTTGTTCCTGTTCTTGTCCTTTTTTTGGTTGTTGTTGTTCAATATAGTGTCGAGACTCGCTTGTAAAATGTTCAGGACAATCTTGCAATTTGTCATGCACTTTTTTGTTGCAATGTCAAAGGATGAAGATGAGTGAGAGAAAAGAAAATGTATCAAAAATTGAAATTATATGCAACATCAGCCAAACATCTCCTGAGAATTGAGATGAAAATCTATTTTCAAGTTGAACCTTCAAGAGGAGCAACTTTACAGCCTTACAATAACCAGAATTTTAAATAACAATATTATTATTATATTATCATCTTTACTATATTAAACTTCAAGATATTAATTTACTTGTTTTCTTGGTAATTAATCTAATTTAGTGGAACAAGGTTACAGGGGAAATTTTTTTCTCTTCTTCATTCTTCTTCGCCTTCGACTGCAAGATGAAACAAAATTGATAAATGAAATTGAAAAGATAAACTGTTCTTTTAGATTTACAGGTTGCAAAATTATTTTGCAAACTCGAGAGGATTCATGACATGTTACATGAAGCTTTTGCCACAAAATTAATAACTTTGAAAGAAAAGAGAGAAAAGGAAAAAAGTTGAAAAGTAAAAGTCAAACATCAATTGGATTCTCGAGGTTTAATCATTAATATTTGAAGTAAGCCAAGTCGACTGTTTGCATGATGTATAATTGAGAGCAATCAAATGATGATATTTGGTCTCATCAAATGTTTCCATTCATGAATAATTGATTATCTATTATTATCATTTCCACATTGTTATTAATGGTATTCCAGGATGGTATTCTGAGCCAATTCAGGGCAAGATTTTTTTTCTGCTTCTTCTTTTTCTTCTTCTGTGATAATTCTCATGTATCAACTAATCGTCTACATTCAAATAGTCATGATGATAAGATGTGAGGGTAAACAAAAAGGTAAAATAAGCGAAATGAAAGTAAATGGTGAAAATGATGGAAAAGATAATATTCGATTCCAAACACGTTCAAGTTATCAGTTTCTCTTATTTCATCTTACAACATGAATAAAACAGTTTATTCATTGCATTTGGCCGGTTGCACGTACAAGGTACAAAGCTTGGTGGTAAAGAATCCAACTCGGAATAATTCAATAATAAAAACCATGAAAGATAAACAAACAGAGTGAGGAGAGAAGAAAACATAAACAAAAATTTCCACATCAACAAGTATCTTTTGAAACTCTAATTGAAATGAATTTTTGTCTCGATTAAATCGTTAAGCTTGACTTGGATAAAAGTATTCATTGTTTCAACATTAAACACTTTTTTTTCCTTGATTCACCTTTTCTCTCGCTGTATCCATGGTTAATGATATGAAAATTGTGGCCAAAAAAAGTAGCAAAAAATAATAAAGATGAGAGAGGAATGAGGTTAATCATAACAGGCAAAAAGGTGAGTAAAAGTGTCTATCGAGAGCGACATGATTTACATAATAAAATGTGGTTACAGTGAGAATCATGTGAATGAGAGAGAGAGACAAATGTTCAGTGAAGCGATAATTTTAATTGATTCTCAATGCATATCATGACAAAGTTGAAAAGTGAAACAATCAAATGCGCTATAATATAAATATAACTTTATGTTCAAGTTGGACAGAGAGGAGAGAGAGAGAGAGAGACTAAATGATAACAATATGTGTACATATATTCATCATTATTAAGCTTGCATTTTGGTCAAGACAAGGAAAGGTTCAATGAGAATGTTAATATGAATAAAAAGTAAAGCTCATTGTTGGCATTATATTCAGCCTGTTGACCGTTTCACCTTGAAATTAACCAACCATAGTAAATGGGTGATTCTGTTTTTTGTGTTGCTTTTTGTTTTTTTACTTTGCTCTTTGTTTCAACTCGAGTATATGGATACAGTTGAGGGCAATTATCAGCTTACACAAAAAACTGTAATGATTAATATTAAAAAAACGTAAAGATGAAAAGGAAACAAAAAACTCTTTTTGTGTAAAGATGATATTGAACGGTTTGCTGATACTGGAAGACTCAAGAATTTCAGCTTTTCCATGTTCTGAAGATTCAGTTGTTCGAAATGAACATTGTACTAAACATTGATATCAGGTTAAGAAACTTTCTTTGATAAAACCAAAAGCTTGGAAATAAAATAAATTTTTGGAAATTTTCTAATGATATCATGAAGTATCTGGACATGATAAAAATGATAATTGGTGTTTTTTATTGATGGAAGTTCCTAAGTTTCTGAAACAGTTTGGAACTTTTTTGCGTATTTTTCCAAATCTTAGATCATTTCTGAATCGCAAATTTCAAGCAATTTTTCTATGGATTGTCTGGTCATTTTTAAGAAATTGAGATTTGCGAAAGGTTATGATGCACTGCAAATTTGGTCGATAAGATTAGCTTTCTTGAAAAAAGGAAAATTTAGAAATTCTAATGAATGTCGAATTGTCTGTGGTTTTGTTGAGTTGTTTTTCGATTCATTGGGCAGTTCATTTTATGCTTTTCGAGACTAGCGTGTTATGTTTAATTGATGGAGAAAATTGCTGGTCTAATGACGGACATTTGGAAAGTTGATTTTATCGACATTTTTTTTATATTGCAAGTTCCTTTCTGTATCATAGAAGCAAAGATATTGAGCAGGAGGAGAAAGGTGAATGATGTTTTGGGTGGGCCAATGTTAATATATTGATGAGGAAGAGAGAGAAAAGATGATGATGATGAGAGGGAAAATGAGCTTGAGGTGACCCGGGAAAAGCCTTAAATTGAGGTTTTACTATCTTAATGAATAAATAATTTCTCTTCTTTCACTTTTTACCCGTTGTTGGTTAAGGTGAAACATTGTCCTTTAATTTTCTGTGGATAACAAGGAGGATGATCATCATGATTATTACACTGATGATCATATCATGATGATGAAGAAGCATAAAAGATGAAAGGGACAAGAACGTAAACTGAAAAAGCCTGGAAAAGCGAAAGAAAAAAACTTTTTTTTCTTTTCACCATTTTCCTCATGCTAAAGGTTGATACAACTAAAAAAGATAATCAATAATAAAGTAAAGAGAGGGAGGAGTAAAGACATTAAAGTGGAATCCCGTAAGATTAAAAGTTTAATATTTCATCAAAAGGGCGTCTCATTGATGATATTGTTGTATAATGATGATGATGATCACCGGTAAACAGGCACGAAGCAAGTGAGTTGAAGCTGTTAAGTCATAAACAAGCAAAAAACCTCAAAACATGATGCAAATGGAAAGGTAAAAAGAAGAGGAAAACAAACAAAAAGATTATCAATTAAAGATGAAAAGATTGTCGATCAAGAAAGGTTGAAAAAACTCGCAATTCTCAGCGACATTATGATGGCAAAAAAATTTCATTGAAAAGTATTCATGAAAAAAACAGACGAAAAAGTAAAATGAGAAAAACTGGAAAAAAATGTTTGTAATGTTAGCAGTTGAAAGGTGGTGAAAAGCGATGCTAAATGGTCGACTATTTGGGTTGGTGAATTAATAAAATGTGTGGATATTGAGGTTGATTGGTTAGATTGAATGGTTAATGCTTTTTATCCAAGTAAGGGTGAAAAGGCATGATATTGAGGATGAAGATGATGTACAAGAGCGAGGATTGTGTGCTTTGAAGGAAGAGGAAAGAGCTTTTAACATTAACTAACTTGATATCTTTATTTTTTTAAGCTTTTCTTTGGTCCGCTTTGGCTTACAATTATTTCACACTTTTCTCTGTCTTTTATATCAACATTGCATTACTTTTTCATTGTTACCGTTGACTGTTGTTGTTGTTACTCTTGTTGGTGTCTCTTCACCATCTCTTCGTGTTTAACCTTTTATCCATCGTCCTCTCAATGTCGGCCGTTATCCTCACTTTGTCCGTTTCACTTTATATTACTCTTGATTCATCATTTGTAACAGATTTTATCTCTTCTTCTGAGCGTATAATGTTTTGCTTTACTCTCATAAAGGTAAGATGATGAAAACTAAATAACATGAAAAGATCTTCTCTTTCTTTTCTTCTTCTTCTTCTCCATCTTCTTGCTTCTTGTATGTTTAACAGTAGGCACATTAATTGACTAGGATTGCACTTACACGCCACATTACGAGTTAAAAAGCTTATACCATCATCTATGCTTGAGTAAGTCTCTTTTATCACTGGAAAACATTTATTTAGTTTTTACCTTGAGTTAACAATATATGCACATATACATTGGCCAGCAAAAAAAAGGATGAGTCTTGTTGGATTAGAGAGTGAACCAGAGAAAAAAGGTGAAAAGAACGAAAGGTTAAGGGCAAAGGTTTCTTCAGTTTCAACAAAACGTTTCAAGAAAAGGAAAGCTTGGCCACAATTCAACCTTCTTGTTGGACAGCTTAATTGTGCTGCTCCATCTCAGACTCACTTTTGACTTGTCTCTACCTTCATTCAACCAAGTCTCTGATGAACAAAATGAGAAGCAACCCAAAAGTAAAAACAAATGATAACCTTTCAAGTTGATCTTTTGCCGCTTCTTGTCTCGTTCTTACCATCCTTTCACTAATCATCATGCCAAATGAATGTGATATCAATTTGTTACCAATCCAATTAATAATCACCAATCAACAAATCATCATGTGATTACTGTTGATGATGCATGATCATTAAATGATGTCAATGAAAATCATTTTACAGGTTACCTTTTGGATGACAGTCGAGCTAATCAAATTAATTGTTTAAAGATTGACTTTTATCGCAAACCCAACTCTTCGACTTCATTTGTATCTTTTCATTTTCATCTTCTTCTTTACTCAATTTCATGCACAAATCAATGAAACAGATTTACTGTTTTTATCTTAATTTCCTATGGGAACAAGATTCTGTATCATTTTACCATCAAACCTTGTATTATATGGAATGCAGAATTGCGCAGGAAAAAAAAGGAAAAGAAAATATCATGACTTATTTGCTTTTTACTTTTTTTTCTATCTGACTGAATGAAGCTTTGCACAAGAAATTCCCTTGATAAAGTTGATTGGTCAATCATGTGGAATCAATAGTTTTTCATGAACATACTTTTCGGCCGAGAAAAGGAATCATTGTACACTTTTGTAACATGCAGTTGAGAGGCAACTTGTTCAGTCTTTTACCTGATCAACATTTTCTCTTCTTTTCATATCAAAAAAATGAAACTTTTACTTAAACTCATGAAACTCTTATCTTCATCTTTGCGTCTAAGCTTGATAAAAATGATATCAGTTGCAATTAACAATTTTCACTTTATTATGATACTGATGATGATTTATTGACATCAACATTTCTCTCTCTCTTTCTCTTCTTTCTATAGTTCTCAAGTTCAATATCATTGCACTCTATGGATTGGTTCATGAAGATGTGAACATTATCTAATTCTCACTTTGAAAGGCAAAGGAAAAGACGACTTAATTGAAACTGAAAAACATATTTAAGGTAATCTGGTTGAACCATTTGTAAATAAATGAAACAACCGGTTTTTGGGATAAATCTTGTTCGGTCAAGGAATATTTCAGGCAACAGCGATTAAACTTGGAAAGTTATCATTTCTATAATTGATCTTTGAATACATCATGATATGAATATTTAGTTTCATGCCTTACTATGTGTAGCCTAATGGACTTGCAAATCAAATGTTTGATCTAAGTTTTGATGAGAAACGGCAGAGACGAGAAAATTTTAAAAATTAAACTCAAAAAGTGAGAGTCAAGTATTGATCAAGACTCATAAGGTGACAATTAATTATCTACTTCTGATGAATGAATATCCCAAGTTTTTATCCGTGATTGAGTAATTTGACGAATTTGTTAATTCTAAATGAAAATTTTATTCTGAAAACTGTTTGATTCTAGAAATGAATATTTTTATTTGTCAATTTTATATTGCAAAGTTGAAAGGGAACTTCACTTTTTAAAAGTTGATTTTTCAATATAAAAGTTTAATGGTACTTTTGACAGTTGAAGGAATGTGAAAATAAACTTTTGATTTATTGCTGGACGAGTTTTTGTCTTTGATTCTGTACTTTTTTTGGCTGTTGAAGTGAAATTTCTGTTCATTTTTTGTTCAAAAACTTTCTTGAAAAAATGGTGAAGTTACCTTTTCTTGTTGTTGAATTTGTTTCATCATGATTTGTTTCTTCTTATCTTTACAGCGTTTATTTTGAAACCAAACTCGTATCACACGAGGAGAAAGTCCAGTCATTTCAACAAGGCGTTCCTTGAGTAGAGCATCTGGTCGAGGATTGGCATTATAACAGCTCCTTAAGGTTGTCAATTGTTTTTCATTTAAAACTGTTCTCACTCTTGTTGGTTTGTGTTCAGATGAACTTTGCTTATGGCCTGAAGTTGGTCGCACAACGGAAACACGACGATGTCCAACAGATTCAGGTAAAGAATCTGCAGGTGAAACTACAGTTGTAAGGTCTCCAGTTGGAAGAACGGAACCCGTTAAATGGTCCGTTGTCGATGAGGGTAAAGTGGACAGGTCACTCTGGTTCATGCTAAGATCGCTTTGATTCAAGCTCATACTATCAGGTGGACTCATGCTTAATTCTGGTTGCATTAACTCATCTTTCACTGAAAGGCAAAGAAACAAACAAATTAGATATAAATAAAAATTCAATGAAAGATGAAAATTTCATTTCTGCTAAAATCAGATTCCAATTCAAAACTTTTATGCAAACAAAAGCTCGTTGAAAAAATCAACATTTTCTTAAAATTCGAAAATTTCTTAAAAATATGAATCTCAATTTCGATTTTGATCAAGTTCAAATAAAATTAGATTTGAATGAATATACAAAAAGTTTTCCTTTTGTGTTAAATCACTTTTCTCAACCTTTTATGCAAACAAAAACTCATTCATCTCATCATTGAAACTTGAAAGATTTTGGAAAAAGAAAAATTGTGTAAATTGAATTTCAATTGAATGTAGTTCAGCTGTGTGAACATGAGTGTTTCATTGATGAAAATTTTCCATCTTGAAAGAAAATCTATTTAATCACTGTTAATCTTTGACGGATTAACAAACTATTCAGTAGCTTATCTTATTGACGCAAATGACAAGTCAATGAGATTAATTATCTAACAAGAGTTGCCAACTGGTAAATGATTGTCAATGGAATGAATATTAGCCTGAAAATTGACTAACAATCAATGGGTAACCCGATTAAAAGTCGACTCTGAATGGCAATTCTTAATGAGTCTGGGTGTGGTTGATAATGAACAGTACAAATGATATCAATAAAGTTGCATGAAACTATTGTTAAAAGTTTGCCAATTTTACTCTCAATCGACGAGTAAAAACAATTTACGTTCAGAAGAGAAAAAAATTGATGGCAAATTGTGCAAAACGTAATGATAATCATTTGGAAAGAAAAAAAATTGAAACACAAACAAAAGGTTAACATGAACAGGTAAAAGGTACATTTAGTGTTGCCAGAGTTTATCTCTAATGAACAAGACGAGCCTGAAATGTAAAGTCAAAAGGTGATTGTCATTTGTGTGGGCAAAGGCTGATTATAATGATTAAAAAGAGACACCAAATAATGATGTTGTTGATGATGATGATGAGGGTGTTGAGGCATTATTAAATGATAGGTGAAATGATCATTATAACAGGTAATGATGATCATGATTATAACTGGACACATGCACTGCTTTCAAATGATTATAATGATGAGTAAAGGTAACTAGAGAAAAGTGAAAAATGTTGAAAAAAACAGGAAGAAAGTTGTACACTTTTTTGTTGCCATTATCAAACATAGACAATCAGATTACAGGTTAACCTTAAGCATTTGTTTGATCAACTAATCTAATAATCGATAAATGTGTATTTACCTTAATTAACTCGATCGAAGTTCAAGTTATTTAACGTTTACTTTTTCATTCTGCACCTTTTCAGATATCAATATCAATGGAGTGACAAAATTTGATTAACACAAATTAAATGGCAATTCAATGTTTACTGTGCAAACAGATGAATCGATACAAAGGGTTTTGTCAAAGTGACAAGTTTTTCGATTTTTTTCTTCTTCTTCTCCAAATTCGTCATTTAGGGTCAGATGAATGTTGGTGAAAATGTGATTATCTTTTTCGATTATCATTTGCTTTCAGTTTCAAGCTGAGCGGTAATTTAGTTTAACTGCAAAAACAGTGTTTAATGATCGAGTTGATTATAGATTGGAAATGTAAAGATTAAGGTTTTGCGGTAACTTTTGTTGCGCTTTTTGCTGGAAAGACGGAAATTTTGTTATGGATTCAGTTGGGTTTAAATCGGAAATTTGAAACTGAAAGCTGTAATGGTAAAGAGAAATGATGTTGCCATGATTATCATGAGAATGATGATGATTGTACATTTTATTCATCTTTCTCTTGCTCTCACTTGCTTTGTACGGTTAGTAACTTTCAAACTTGGCTAATCTAATAATAGAAAAGGGTTTTGTGTCGAGATGTTTTTGGCTTTCACTGGTCAAGGGTAGCTTCCTGATTGAAGATCGCATTAAACTAAATTTCATCTTGTTTAACATTCTCCAGTCTTTTATGAATCTGTTTGGTCAGAAGAAAGGAAAGGAGGAATCATTATTGTGTTGATGATGATGATGATTAAAGTGAAACCATTTTCACTTTGATTAACTTAAACAGATTAGTAAACACCAGTTCTGAATCTTTCAAGCGTCAATCTTTATTGATATTGATAACTATTGGTCGATTAATTCTGTTAACCCATCAACTTGTGTTAATGAAAAGGACGACAAGAATGGATTAAAAGCAAGGGTTAACACTTATGACATTATTTCAAGTTTATTCATTTGCATTTCCCTCACCAAATGAGTAGAGCTGAAAGAATCATTTCAATCTGAAAGCAACTTTTCGAAAAATTATTTTTTCGATTTTTTCCAGCAGCTTGACAATCATGATGAGTTTGGACAGTTTTATACAATAAAGATGTTCAATTGTTGAATATGGAAAGAACTCATTCATGATTAGCCAAGTCAAGACCAATATGAATAGTTGATTGAACATGAGAAACTGTCAAATTGAATTTTTGGATGTTGCATCGAAATTGTCATTTTATGAATAATTTTTTTCTTTGCTTTCACTGAATTTGTTGCAACAAACACAATGGAAGCAACGTCTTGTGTTTCAACCAAGTGAAGACACGAACAGGGTTGGAACACGTTGATGGATGCAAAAGCAATTCACAATGCTGGTTGACCCCAGAAGATGAGGAAAAAAAGTAAATGAAAGATAACATTACTTGTCACAATTAATTTCACTTCATTTCCGCCAACCTCTTCATACTAATCATGTTAACATTTCCATCTCTTTTCAGTGCAACCCAACGATAACGATATTTTCTTGTCTCTTTCATTTTCATCAGTCGCATCATGTTCAACTTTTCTGTAACCAAAATTAATCCAAGTAATTGAGAGAGAGACAGAAGCGAGGAGAAACTCGAAAAGATGGAAACAATTGGACAAAGTGAAGAGAAGAGGTTGAATGGATGGAAAATAATGATTACTGTAAAACCAAATGAAGATGGATGAAGTCACAGAACGAGAGAGAGCAAAAAAAGATAAAGTGATAACTCTTTCTGTGTTCATCACAACTCGACATTGGACATATCAAACATCAATTATTTGGTCAATAAAATGCATTTTATGTTTTCTCTTATCCTCATCACATAGAGAGAATGAGTTTGCAAGGGAAAAAAACATGAAATCATTTGTTTAATATTGTGTTTGTGTAAATGATAGAGTATTAAAAAAGAGGTTGATTATGATGATAATGGTGATGATTATGATAAGATGAATTGATTAATATGAATAATGTCAACTTGAAATGGTAATAATGGAAATACTAGCCAAAATGTTTATCAAAAAATCGTCAAACAATGTTATCAAAAGAATAATGTCAAAGTTATCAAAGATGAAATTTTTTTCTTCTCTCTTCTCCCCACTCTTCTCTCCTCTGTTTTTCATCCCTACATTTTAATGGTAAACGACAAGTTTAAGTTGTTGTACTTATAGTATCATCATTCTTCCTCATCATCAAGATGAAACGATCAAGGAAAGGATAAAAAGAGAATCGAGAAAACCTAAGTTTTCTTTTCAATGTGGACTTGTTTATATAGATGTTTGATTGATGATAGTTACTCTTTTTATTTCTGCGCCAAGATGAAGATGATGATGATGATGGAAATGAAGAGGCTTTTTAGACAATATAAAGAAAAGAATATGTTAAGTTTTTCTCTCTCTTTTTTCCTCATTCTGTGCTCTCTGAGGTATAACATTGTTACTTTCATATTCCAATAAGAATCATGTAAATTTATATCTCGATAATCTGACTTGGTAAAGTTAAGCTCATTGGGATTTCACATTTTCAATGGTAAATCAAAGATGAATTTGAAAGGCAAAATGTTGTTGCAATGGTTTACATTCAATAATTATTTTACTCTGGTTGCTTCATCGATATCAGTCGACATTATCATTGCAAATGTCGAGAGAAGCCAAATTTGTTTCCAATTTTATTGTCATTCATCATTCACTTTACAGGATAATTGAAAGAATTATCTGATTAAAAGTTCTTCACGCTTTGCTATTTACTTTGTATTCCAAGTCGACTTAACTCACGAGAAAATCTTGCAATACTTTGATCAACCTTTTGTTTCAACCAATTGTGAATCAATTTATTGATTTGAAACTCTTTTGTTCTCTGTTCATGAGTTGGCCATGTTTCACCAAAACTTGCTCACACCTTCATCTTAGTGGACCAACTCGAGTCATGATAAGCTTTAGATAACAAAAAGTAGAATCTCTTTTTCATTTGATGTTTTCGTGCAAAAAAAAGATGAAAACAAATGCATCGAAATAAAGGCAAAAATCAATCTCCATGCAATTGAGTTTCATCGAGACAAGAAATTTGCTGAAACGTAAAAGGCAGAGACACGATAAAACTGATGAAATAAATGAAATGGTAAAGAGAAATGTTGAAATGCGAAAAAATGGAAACAATGAAAATGAATCTGAAAATATTGAGCATTAATCAAGTTTAATTTACTCTTTAAACAAATTAGCAACTTTCAAAGTTGAATGTAAAAAAATGAAAAGTAAATATCAATGTTAATGATGAATGAAAACGGTAAACCAATTGGTTGGAAAGTAAATTAAATGATCATAAAGTTAAACATGATTAACATTTCAATTCAACAGCAAAATTCAGTGTTATTAATATGCGTGGTAAAAAACAATAAAGAAACATGAAAGTGAAATAACAATTTCTGTTAACATTTTTCCATTCAAAATTATCATTTCATTTTGCTTCATTTTGTCATTGAGGAAACATTTTTTTTCGAGAAAACAAAAAAGATTGTACAATGATTTCAAAGAAAACTCGATATTTTGATTGGAACAAAAAACTGACGCCTTTCAACCTATTTTCAGGGAGTTTACCTTTCACATGTTTATCATCATCATTCATCTTTGTTTGCCCATTCGTTTTATCATGTACATCAAAACATGATAGACTTGGCGTGATATCAAAGAGTCAACCAACAAGCATTAAAAAACTGTTTACCA